ATTCCTCAAGAAACTAAACATGTAACTATCCTACAATCCAGTAATAACAATCTTGGGCATTTACTCGAAAGATTCCAAACTAAGATATAATAAAGCCACCTCTACAACCATGTTCATTATAGCACTGTACACCAAATGGATTTATAAAGTGTGGTATATATACACAATGAAACTTTACTCATCCATTAGAAAGAAGGATATCACATCATTTGCAAAGAAATGGATGGAGTTGGAAAATATCATAGTAAGTGAAGTCAGCCCCAAAGAGACAAATGTTTTCTCTCATAAGCTAGAACAAATTTATAAATGTACTAAGATACACTTTGGACTGTATACAAATATATTAACCAAAATATGGTATTTTCAGACAAGAATTCAAATGGTGCCATTCCTTAGAAAGGATAACTCAGAGTCCAACAAAATGAATACCAAGAGTCAGGTACTCAAAAAGTGGAGGGTGGAGTTAAGAAGAGGGCATAAACTAGTAATACAATGATGGAATTCTTGTAAGATAAACCACTTAATTTATGGGGTCTAGGCTAACTTGGAATTATGCACTCCATGTGTCAGAATTGAAATGAACCACTAACAGAATTGGTGTCAGATATTTGGACTAATGACTATTAGCACAGCAAGAAATTGGGTATTTTTGATCACTCCAGAAGAAAAGAATTCTGTTATCTACTGTGTTTACCTGGACAAACCACAATGCTTTTGAATTTCAGTTTCCTCAAATATGTATAATTGATATTGCCAAGATTGCGGAAAAATCATCTCTGATTCATTTTAGTGACATTTAATTATTGTTCATTAATCATTTTTCTTAATAAATTAAAATGGTCCAAAAGAAGAAAAAAGAAGAGGGCATAGACAAATGAAGAGAGGTAGTGGGGGAGAATACAGTAATATAAGTTAATGCATATTCTATGAAATTTAGAAAATTAAGGGAAGGGGTAAGGCTGGGAGTGATGGGGAAGACTGCTGAAAGGGGTAACATCAAGATGCATTGTATTCATAAACTGAAGTATTGAATGGTAACTCCTTTGTACAACAACTTAAAGATAATTAAGAATAAATAAGTATGATTTTTCATTTTGTTTTATGTCAAATGTCTCATGTATGTTATTGATTAATTATAGACTATAGACTGCTTTCAAAGTTTCTCTTTCATCTACCCAGCTTTCCTTGTCATATTTTCAAGAATTTCAACCCAGTTAAGATGTTTTACAAAGTTTTCCAATATTAAGGCTTGTTCCTTAGCTTTTTTGCTCAAGGCTAAGCTTCCTGTCCAATTTTTTTTTGGCGGGGGGATTGTTAATTGGAGATAGGAGTGACATAGACTTTCCTGCTGGACTGGCTTTGAACTTCAATCCTGAGATCTTAGCCTTCTGCTTAGCTAGAATTATAAGTCTGAGCCATCAGCACCTGGCAAATCTATTTAGAGAGAGGTTCAATATTGAGACTTGAACTCAGATCCTCTTGCTGTTGCCTTGCCTTTTCTGCTCAGAGTTGGCTTCTGCCACTTGAGCAACATCTCTGGTTCCAATTGCATGTTTTTCTTAGAGTGGTTTTTTTGTAGCACAGTGATCAAACTTAGGTTTTGTTGAAAACAAAGGCAAGTTATTCTGTGCACCCAAGGGTAAGGAACACATTTTGTAGCCAGCCAGCCAGCTCAATCTGGTTTGTCTTTTCTTTCCATCCTCCAGTTAGTCTTTTGTGACTTCTTTTCTTGGTTCTCAGTAACTTCTTTGGGGATGTAGAAAAGTGAGAGAGGCTGAGTTGTTAATGTCTTAAATGAGTATTTGGCTGGCTTGCTGTAAGAAATCTAGCTAAGAACTGTTTTAGTGCTAGTGTACTCACTCACCATACACAATACCAACAGAAAACATAGGGATGCCTTTCAAAGATAAAATTCTTTGTCTTTTCCAATACTGCTTCCAATTACTTTGAGATATGAATTCTTTAAATAACTCTGGGCTGAGTGAAGCTTGTTTGAGAAGCTTGTTTGTACAGAATTTAACAATGTAGAAATGTGCCTTAAAATGCACAAATTTTTCAAGCATCCATTTCCATTTTAGCTCAGTTTCATACTTCAGGGAGAGTACATACATAATAATAATATGTAATTCAAAGTTAATAATACCAGATGAATTCCTAGTTGTTCTATGGAAGTCTATCACTAAAGGAAAGAATGTAAGATTCAAAGATGTGTAGGCTGTGAGTCAGCTATCTGTTACTGTACAAACCCTAGAGACAGTCAACTTATAATTGAAAATGTTTATTATTTATTTAACAAATACTAAGGCTTGAACTCAGGATCTCTTGCTCTTGATAAGCTTTTTTGATCAGGACTAGAGCTCTACAACACCAACCAAATTTCCACATCTGGCTTTTGGACTGATTGATTGGTGATAACAGTGTTAGGGATTGGTCTGCTCAGGCTGGCTTTGAAGCAAAATCCTATATCAGCAGCCACCAGTATGGATTAGAAAAAAAATTATTTTGGCTGATAGTATTGGAAATTTCAGTCCATATTTAGTTGGATCCATTTCTTTGAGCCTGTGACAAGGAAGTACATCATGTTAAGGAATGTGTGGTGAAGCAAGCAACTTACCTCATGGGCTGCACAAAAGAGAGAGGAAGAGAGAGGGAAGAGCAAGGGCTAGGTTCCCTTGTTCCTAACAAGGAAATGCAACCAATGACCAGAAGACCTCCAACTAGGCTCCACCTCCTGAAGATTCCACCACTCCCAATAACACCAAGCCAGAAACTGAGCCTTTAACACATGGGCGCATTTAAGGACATTCCAGACCCAAATACTTTCACAAGTTGCAAAAGATTATTTCTTGAAATAATTTAATGTGAAGCTTTGAATGTCCCTAATTGTAAGTTGTGAAACTGTTATCTTTTTTTATCTTTATCTTTTTTTCTAATTACCAATCTACTAATATTGACCTATTTTCAATTATAGGAAAAATTTTCAGAATTGTAAATATCTATAGATTTAAGATTGGTTGAAATATAATTGTCTTTAAAATGTTAAAGGTACTGGTCTTTTTTTATCTATTTGTTCATTAATTTCTTTAATAATTCTGATTTTTCTATGTTTATCTAGTTGTAAAATTTTTGTGAAGATTACTCACAATGAGCATGATAGAAGATAGAATCAGAAGATAGAATCTAGCCACAGGACCATGAGATCTGAGGATTGTGGTTTGAAGCCAACCCAGGCCTAAAAGTCTGTGAGACCTCTAATCAATCAGCAAAAATCCGGAAGTGGGGGTGTGGCTCAAATGGTGGTGTGGCTCAAATGGTAGCGTGCCAGCCAGCCTTGAGTGATAAAGCCAAGCAAGAGTAAGAGGTTCTGAGCTCAAACCCCAGAACCAGCACACGCATACACGTATGTGCACCTACTCACACATGCACACACACAGAATTAAAAACTAACAAAAATTACTTTAAGAATTTTACTATCATCATTATCTCAAGTTTTAGCTCTAATTTAATGTACTCTTCTATCTCCAGACATGATAGCCTTTACTCTTTCACTTGTAACAGAATTCAGTTTCCCTAATATATGGAAAACTATACCTAATACCTTGTGGAAATCTTGGGCTTGGGCTCCATTTTTATTTCTCTCATTTGGGGGAGTATTTTTAATGCAAAAAATGCATGTTGTCCACGTTTCCCTATCACCTGTCACATGATAGGAGCCTGCTAAGATTTGGACTATAAATGTGAGTGGATATGATACATTTTTAAGGAGTAATTCGTATTTTTTCAAAAACTTTAAGCCCATATATCATTCCTCCAATTCCACTTCCAGGAACTTAGATACTATTGTATATATTCATACAGATATTTACACCCAGCGCTGCATGTTAGAAAAGACCAAAACCAAAGCAAAAAAAAAAGAACCTTGAAAACAGCTAGATAAACAGTATAGCACTAGTTGAATAAATTGTGGTACTTTCCTTGTGTCACTTATAATCAATGAATGCCCTGTGGCCATTATATAGAATGTTATCTCCTTATCTACATCTCTTCATATAAATAAGTATATATTTATACTGAGAAACATCATTATTCTAGAATAGTGTATGAATATGATGCTTTAGTGTTAAAACTGGATAAACATATATTGAAAATATTTAGTCGGATGCCAGTGGCTCATATCTGTAAATCCTAGTTCAGGAGGTTGAGACCTGAGGATCGTGCATCCAGGACAGCTCAGACAGGACTACTGAGATAATATTTAGCCAGCAAAAGGCCATAAGTGGAGCTATATGTGGCTTAAGTGATAGAGCACCAGCCTTGAGCCAAAGCTCAGGGCTAAAGGGGGAAGCTGAGGGACATCCTCAGACTCTAAGTTCAAGCCCAGTAACGTTTCCCTCCCCAGACCAAAAAAAGTAAATATTAAATATATGTATTTACATATACAATATATTACATATACATTATATAAAAATACAATCATATAGCATGTATATGTTTTATATATTATTTCTTGGGGGGGGGGAGGGGGTCCAGTCGTGGAACCTGAACTCTGGGCCTGGGTGCTGTCCCTCAGCTCTTCAGCTCAAGGCTAGCACTCTACCACTTGAGCCAGTGCCACTTCCGGCTTTTTTTTCTTCTGCTTATGTGGTGCTGAGGAATCGAACCCCAGGGCCTCATGCATGCAAGGCAAGCGCTCTACCACTGAGCCACCTTCCCAGCCCAATGTTTTCTATATTATTTCTATAACATAGCATATATTATAATATGTAACATGTTAGATATATACATTTTGGGAGCAATGAAAAACAAGGAGCCGGGGATCAGTGGCACTTGTTCGTTGTCATGCAATCTGAGTTGTGAAAGGTGCATGCACAAACTCCTAGATACAAAAACAAAAACAAAAACGAAACGCCCTAGACATGCACTTCCGGCCTCTAGCTAAAGAGGGCGCAGTAGTTCCCAAAGTCCAGTTTCCTATAAATTTAGGGTCTCCGGAAGCCGACCTGCTGTCGTCATACGCCGGGCGACGGCGCATGCGCACTAGCGGGAGCGGCTTTCCGGGTTCTTTGTATTCAGCTTCTCGACCTCCAGCTTCTCGTTGTGTCGCGGAGGTCGCCGCCAGCACGGCTTTGGTCCGCTTGGCACTGGGCGGGAGGCAGCTTGGTGGCCACATGAACACGTGTCATCACGCCCGCGGTGGCTGGGGTCGGGGACGCGACTTTTCAGGTCGTCCCCCAGCCCAGAAGAAGGGCGGAAACCAAGTCCCGGAAAGGTAACGCGCTTTCCTGCCGGGCCGCGCTGGGAGCGGCGTCTGCGCCCCGGCCGGGCCCGGCCCGGCCCGGCCCCACGGCGCTGCCGGCCCCGCGCGCCCCTCCCGGCCCCGCGGCGCTGCCGGCCCCGCGCGCCCCTCCCGGCCCCGCGCCCCCCTCCCGGCCCCGCGCCCCTCCCGGCCCCGCGCGCCCCTCCCGGCCCCGCGCGCCCCTCCCGGCCCCGCGCGCCCCTCCCGGCCCCGCGCGCCCCTCCCGGCCCCGCGCGCCCCTCCCGGCCGCCCCGCTTTCCGGCCGGCCCTGTCGCAGCAGCTGGGATCAAGAGTGCCCTTGGTGTTAGGCGATCTCTGTCTCCGTCTCTTAAAGGAAGATAGGCTCTTCCCTTGGTCCTGTGGGTAAAATGCAGAAGGACTGCTTGGAGGCGGAACTGTTAGCACAGGGACACTACTTAATTACCAAAGTGGCCCCTCTCCCCCAGCCCCCTTTCTCCAAGTTTACGTTATTTTGGCACAGATAATGCGAGCCATCGGTCTTAAGTTTGAAATGAGTTCCCAGTTCCGGCCTGGGATAGTCCATGGAAAGTTGGTTTGGCATTGTTTCCAGGAGTCACTTAAGAGACTTTGCTTTTGAGACTTTACAGTGAATCCTTGTACTTCTGAAGCGATCCTCTCCCCCTTCTCATACTTCAGTCCTCTTCATTTTATCTTCTAAGTCGCTTTTGAGTCTTCTTTCGGTTCTCCTGCAGCATCCTAATGCAGATCTGTTGCAGTTGTATACTAACAGTGGTCATGTATGTATATTCTGCCTTTCGAATCCATTTCTCACAAGAAGTTTTTTTTGGGGGGTGGGGGGTCCGGTCATGGGGCCTGAACTCTGGGCCTAGATGCTGTCCCTCAGCTCTTCAGCTCAAGGCTAGCGCTCTACCACTTGAGCCACAGCGCCACTTCCGGCTTTTTTCTTTTTGCTTATGTGGTGCTGAGGAATCGAACCCAGAGCCTCGAGCATGCAAGGCAAGCGCTCTACCACTGAGCCACCTTCCCAGCCCACAAGAATTTTTTTATATTGGTAATTATTTAAAATTAAAATTGGGTTGGAATTAAAAGATGACTTATGAACTTTACCGTGAAACATTGCTTTGAGAATGAAAAGAAGCTTCTTCTCATGGCCTGTGTCCATAGTCTGGGAGTCTCTCTTCTTCCCCAGCCTCAACTTTTGTGGCTGTTGCCCACAGTTTCTATGCTTTAAATACATGGAATGGCCTTAGTAAAGTCTAACTACTCTTCGCCTTAACTCCTAGCATTATCTAGAGAAGTCCACAGTCCCTTTCTGTCAGATTTCAACTCTCTTTATATATGAACTTCAAGCTTTCTACTGATTGAGTCGGATAGTATCAGTTGTATGAAGACTAAAAACCTGGGGAAAGGGGAGAACGAGTTTAAACTATTTTAATATACTGCATTGATTACACGTTAACATCAGATACTGGGCTAGGTTTAATCAGGGATACAGAAGTTTTCATTCAAAACCCCTGATTTTAGATACCCTGATTTGTAAGGCCCTTTTCACTGTTTTGTTGAATTATATTTGTATTCCAAATAGGGAAACAAGAACAAAGAAAGAATAGGTTATTACTAGGAGGAGTTGACTGAGTGGAAAAAATGCAAAGGTGGATTGTGTGGGTTGTTTCACAGTTTCAAGGAGTCTATGTTCTGTGGAAGGAGTCATGATTAACATGCTATTTGGCTAATATGATGGTATATAATAGGTGGAAAGACTATTTACCAGTTGGATGTCGGATGCCTGGGACTCGTTTTATTGCTTTCAAAGTACCTTTGCAAAAGGTAAGAAAAAATTCAGTATTGTTTCAAAAATGTGAATTCATCATGTAGAACACTGATTCTTGACCCTGTCTTACTCCATTTCCCTCTATGTGCCAAATACTTAGTAATGTCTCAGCCTTCCTAAAGTGAAATTCACAAATAAACAGAACATAATTTTAAAGAAGAAAAGTCAATATAGTATAAATATATAATAAAGTAGTATTTTAGTATGGAAATGTGTGATTATGACTACGCTATAAGACAAAGAAATATGTTCTCCACTTTGTTTATAAAGTGATTATTGTCTGGAAAAGTTATTATACATAAAAAAACAAAGCCCAGATGGGGGACAGTGTTTAAAAACAAATGTGCTCATTACTTATATAACTGTAACACCATACCCCCATCACCTTTTCAATAAAGATAAAAACAAAAACAAATCCCTTTTATGTTTGTATTTGTGAAATAGAGGTAGGTTCTGAAGTTTAGATAAATAGGACACTTTTTTCCCTAAATTAATGTTGACCAAGACATTTCCAAATCAGGAGGGGGAGGGGGGGACACAGACACAGAAATGAATATATCAAGTGAGCTTTTCCTCTTCATTTTGATTACTGGCAAAGAAATTTGAAATACAGCTTCCAGAAGAATGAGAAGTTAACTTTGAATCTCATTGTATCTCAGTCAGTTAGCAGCCTTGGGTTTAAAGAAATACATAATATCATAGGGGATGTTAAACACACATTTACCTTCTCTTATTTCATTTTCTGATAGAAGTTTGAAGTGAATCTTGCTCCAGAAGAATACTTTTCCCCTTTGGATCTGTTTAACAAAATCCAGGAACAAAATGAAGAGCTTGGCTTGATTATTGATTTAACATATACTCGGCGATATTATAAACCAGAGGTAAAAGAACCTTTAATGAAGAATTTTCTTCATTTTGATACTAAAATAATTCACAGTAACTAAGTCATTTTTATCTTGTGCTGATGTAAATAAAGCCTGACCTTCTTTCATGGGTATTGATAATTTGAAAACAAATATACGTATTTTTGTTGTTTTGTTTTTGTGATGGTCCTGGGGCTTGAGCTTGGGGCCTATATGCTGTCCCTGTGCTTTTTATTTGGGGGGGCGGTCCGGTCGTGGGGCCTGAACTCTGGGCCTGAGCGCTGTCCCTCAGCTCTTCAACTCAAGGCTAGCGCTCTACCACTTGAGCCACAGCACCACTTCCGGCTTTTCTTTATGCTTATGTGGTGCTGAGGAATCTAACCCAAGGCCTCAGGCATGCAAGGCAAGCGCTCTACCACTGAGCCATCTTCCCAGACCCCCCTGAGCTTTTTTGCTCAAGGCTGGCACTCTACCATTTGAACCACAGCTGCACTTCTACCTTTTTGCTGGTTAGTTGGAAATAAGTGTCACAGCCTTTCCTGCCTAGGCTGGCTTTGGACCATGATCCTCAGAGCTCAGCCTCCTGAGTAGCTAGAATTACAAGCATGAGCCACTGGTACCCAGCAGTTGCATGTGTTGTAATTGTCCCCAGATACTGTTGGAGGCTGTGTATGAAGATGAATGCCTGTAATCTTAGCACTCAGTAAGGCCGAAAAGGAAGATTATGACTTTTAGGCCAGTTTGGTCTAGTAAGGTCATATTTCACATTTAAAAAATTAGGGGTTGGGGATTTAGCTCAGTGAAGTGCAAGGCCCTGAGTTTGGTCCTCAGCTCCTCAAAAAAAGAAAAGAAAAAGAATAAAAAACAGCAGAGATTAAAGACAAAAATTGAACTATATTTGATGTTTAGTCACCATTACCACTGTCTGTACTCATCATCTTCAACAAAAACTAACCATCAACAATAACTCACTCCCTCCTCTACCCCCTAACTCATAGAAACTTCCTACTATACTTTCTAACTGAATATGCCTGTTTTAGATGCCTTATACAAGTAGATCATGTAATATTTTCCTTCTCTGCCTGGCTTATTTCATTAATCATGTTTTCTCAAGGTTCATTGTGTAGCATGATCAGAATCTTACTCTTTCTTATGACTCAATATTCCAGTGTCCATATTACCATGTTTTGTTTAATCTTACAAGAAATAACACACTCCTATTTCTATCATCTTGTTTTTAGGTTATTATCATAAATCTTATATATATATATATATATATATATATATATATATATATATATATATATACAGAAATTGACATGATGTTATAGGTGCTTTCTGCACACTAATTCATTTAGTTTTAATATCACCTAATGGCTATTGTGTTTCGTCTGTATCCCTATTTCAACTAATTCTGTATTATTTTAAAGCAGACCTCAGATACCATATAATTTCATCTCTACATCTTTGCTATGTATATTTAAGATATAGTACTTATTCCCCTTTTTTTTCCCCAGTTTTTTAAATATCAGGTATCCAGTCAGTACTCAATTTGCAATTGTCTTTTAAATATCACAAAAATTCAGTGGTACTCACTAGACAATATGTTGAAAATGAATTACACAACTTGTGAGTGGGGATGAGAGGGAAAAACGGAGAGAGCAAGGAAAGGACTGACCTTGTCCAAAAACAAATGGACTCTTTACCTGGCTTAGGTAACCGTAACCCCCTATACATCACCTTTATAATAAGAATACAAAATAGTTTAAAGTTTGTCTTTTAAATATCTCAAAAAAATGTCAATTTTAAGTCTCTTTTAATCTGTAGGTTCCCCTTTGTGTCTCTTCTTCCCTTAAATTTCATGTTTTTAAGAAATCATGTACTGTTTGTACTATCTAGATTTTAATAATGCATCTTCATGTGTGAATATATTTTTTCAGTCCTTTTACTTCTGCAGATTGGTAGTTGGGCTAGCTTGATTAGATTCAGGCTCAATTATCGTTTCTTACAGGATGTGTATGTGTGCATACATATGTTTGTCAGTAATGGGGTTTGAACTCAGGTCTCCATACTTGATACACTCAAGTAGCTAAACAAGTGCTCTACCACTTTTTGTATGTTTTTGTGGGAGTTTTTTTATTTTACCTCAGACTGAGATCCTCCTACCTCTGCCTCCTGAGTAGCTAGGGTTATAGGCATGTATCCCCAAACCCAGCTTATTTTTTAAAGTAGGGACTTTTTTTTCCCCAGCTAGCTTCAAACCCAAATCTTCCTATCTGCCTCCCAAGTAGTTAGGATTGCAGCCTTGCACCAAGATGCCTAGCATATTTACATTTTGAGATGTGTTCTCTCAGTGCTGGTTAGGCTGGTCTTAAACTGCTAAGCCCATGTGTTTCTCCTGACTTAGCATCCTGAGGCTGTATGCTGATACATGCAATCAATACAATTTCAAAAGTGATGATGTGTTCATCAGAGGGCTTATAATATCTCTTCCTGTGATATTAGCAGTCATTCATGACTTCCAAAAAGTGATTTTTTTCTTTATTTTTCTTCTTTTTTCTTTCTTTTTATTTTTCTTTTTTTCTTTTTTTTTTTTTTTCCTATTTTGTGACAGGGTCTTGATGTGTAGCTCAGACTGGCCTTGAATTCAAGTTCCTCCTGCCTTGGCCTCCCAAGTACTGAGATTACAGGTGTGCATCACCATGCCAGATTTAAAAAGGTGAATTTTATCATTTTTATTTCATTTATTAAAGAAGTTTCACCCCATTAGGTTGTCCAGGAATACAGGCATGATTCTTAAGTCTTCAAAATAATAATTGGTTCCCTAATATCTTTTAATAGTTATTTTGATTTTATTTAATTAACTGATTTTTCTTTTCAGCAGTATGAATTCCATTTCAGTTTTTCTCAGTAAGGCACAATTCAAGAGCCTTTCTAGATAGTTGGAACTTTCTTATTTTAGCTTATGACACAATCGTACTGTTTTGGTCACTCTTCTAGCTATTTGTATGGAAAAAATTGCAGGGTCATCTTGAACATTTCCTCCTCCAAATAGAATCGGTGATTTTAACAAGGTGCTTTGATTGGTGTTAGTGAGACACTTAGAGATTACTATTCAAGCAGTAGAGGCTACTGAGCTGACATGATTTCTAGATTTTTTTCTTGGGGACAGAGCTAGAAACTATGTATTTTTTTGTAATGTAAAATAACATTATAAATTCATGTTAATATTTTCCATTTTAGCTCATGTTACAGAATTTTTACTTAACACCTTTGTATCTTACTCACATCTACTTTTGTCCACCCCATGAGTTCTTCAGATTAAATCATAGCTGCTTTGTGTAGATACTAACCCTTGAAACACAAAATGTTAAGAATAAATCTGTACATGCACTCATTCACATAGATAAATTGCTGTGTGTGTGTGTTTCATGTACTTATTGACTATCCTGTAGTATTAATGAAAACTAAATGGTACTTCCATTTGAAGGGGCTTTGGAAAAAATTGGCTCTTTTATAGGAATTGCTGACATACTAAGTTTAATTTATTGGTGTATATTCTAGCTCCTCTAACCACAAATCAAATAATACTTTTTTTGTTTTGTTTTGTTTTATAGGATTTGCCAGAATCTGTTTCATATTTTAAAATCTTTACAGTTGGGCATCAGATACCTGATGATAACACTATTTTTAAATTTAAATGTGCTGTTAATGGTTTTTTGAAAGAAAATAAAGACAATGGTAAGTTTTTCTTTATCTGAACTTTGGTGTCCATTTTATGGTGTTGGAACATTTTGGTTTTTTTTAATAGTTCTGACATTAGGCCAATTACCTTCAATGTTATTAAGATATAAATATCAGATAGTGGTAATAAAGTAAGGTGCTTTTCCTTTTGTTGACCACATACAAACAACTTCCTTAGAAAAGTAATTTTAGTGAGAAATAATGGCCTGAATTAGCTCATTCATTGCTTAAAAGTATGAATGGAAGATGTAATAAAATTAAAATGTTTGTCTCATATTCATTAACAGTTGAGAAGTGATTAAATACTTCAGGATTGCTGGATGCCAGTAGCTCACACCTGTAATCCTAGCTACACGGTTGGCTGAAATCATCAACAAACCACCAAAAATAAAACAAAGCCAGAAGTGGAGCTGTAGCTCAAGTGGTAGAGTGCTTAGCCTTGATCAAAAGAGTTCAGGGAAAGCACCCAGGCTCTGAGTTGAAGCCTCAGTACACTCACACTCTCTCTCTCTCTCTCCCCCTCTCTCTCTCTCTCTCTCTCTCTCTCTCTCTCTCTCTCTCTCTCTCTCTCACACACACACACACACACACACACACACACACACACACACACAAACAACGCAGAAAAAATTCAGATCTCAGCGTTAAAAGAGACAAGAAAAAGTAAGGTGTGAAGCAATCTCCTAGGAAAAAAATACAATGTTTGTGGGCCAGTGGAATTGCATCTTTGTCATTATATGTAAGATCTTTCTGCTTTGTTATTATATTTAAGATATCCCTGCTGTCTTTCTAGTTTGGACACAGTTGATTGTTATTGAAAGTGAATACCTGACTATCTTATAGCTCATTGGAAGAATACTTGCCTAGCATGCATGATGCCCCATTTCAGTCCCTAACATTGCAAAAAGAAGAAAGAAAAAAAATTGAAGTTGGCTTTGTTTCATTCAGAAGCAAATTTTTTTTCTCACAATTTTTTCACATATTTTTCTATGATTAAATTAATTGTTGATAGGGACATTCTTTATTAAGACAAATGAGTTTTAGTTGTTAATACCTGACAAGACCTTCTGTAGTTTTACGTCATTAAGTGTGATTGAAGATATACAGAATAACCTAGACACATCAAGTATTAGCTTTCTGGTGGTGGTGTTTCATAATCATGTTTCCTAAAAAACCCATTCTTCTTCAGCATAGTGATATTGTTGTAACTTGTAAAATGTAATTCCTCAGAAGATTGTATCACTTATTTTTGATGTGTCTATTTCAGTTACTTCACTTTCTTGTTTAATAGGCAAACTTGTTGGTGTCCACTGCACCCATGGCTTAAACAGAACTGGCTATCTGATCTGCAGGTAAGTTTTCAACCCCAAAGGCAGATTGCCTGTAAGTTGTTTTTGTCTGATTGCAATGGTAATATAAGAGTGTTGAAAAACATGTATTCAGTATAGAAATATATAATGTTGAAAAGTCTGGTCTCTGACCAGAAATTAATAAGTTTGTATTTATCTTTTTTAACTTCAAAAAGCATATATATAATGTTTATAATATATATAATATGTAGTTGGTAGTATACTAGGCATTCAGTTTATTTATAACAATGTGGCAAGCATTACTTTACTATGAAAGGATGTGTATTCCTTTGCCTACAAATGAACATAGAATCAGAAGTTTTTGACATATAAAACATTAAAGTAGTGAGCTTTCCTGTATGAACAGCTTTGAATACCATATGCTATTGTCCTAGAGATAATTTTATTCAAACTGAACCAAATAGTATACATTCTTACAAATTTTATGGCTATTGCTACACGGTACCTGTTTATTCATTCAGAAAATATTTATTGGGCACCTAGCAATGTAGGCACTGTACTAAATACTAGTAAAGAGACACAACCTATATTTCTGAAGGACAGATAGGAAAGAATCATAAAATACATACAGGGTTATAGCTGATCAGTGCTAAGGAGGAGAGAGATAGGGCACCATGAGAGCCTATCATGGGACCAATTTAACCTTATCAAAGAAGCTAGAGGTTTCTATAAAGAAATTTGAACAAATAAAGTTGGAGATTGTATTGGTACTAAGCGGGTAGGGACACAGGAAAGAATTGTGAACATAAGAACAGCACAGACCCCATAATAGAATAGCATGTATGGTGTTGGAGGAAGTGGGCCATGGGGAAGTATGCCATTAAAATGGACTGGAAGTTTGGGGACCTAAACCAGGCAGAGATAAGTTTAAGTTTCTCTCTCTAGTTTTCTCTCTCTTCTTTCTTGATTTTAAGAACAATATTTTGCGTTAGGGTTGATTGTGTGGAACATAGCCATATTGCATGTTCATCCTATCATTTTACTATATAGCGGAAAACACATTGCAGGGGTAGAAGTAAGGGATCAAATTAGGAAGTTTTTGTAGGAGTTGGTAATAGTGATAGCTTAGACCAAGATGTGGTGGTCATTTTCGTGGAAAGATGTCATCATATTATAGAGAGATTTAAGTAATATCATTGTTAAGAGTTGGTGGTAGGCTGAAGATGCAAGTAAGGAAAAATGGCTGATGGTGATGGTGACTCCTTTTTCTGGCCCAGACAGTTGATTACACAGTATTTTTTACATTTGTTGATGTTTTTCTCAGTTTGTGTTTTGTGTGTTGTTGGTTACTTCTAAATCTCTGTCATAGTAAGGAAGTCTTCTGTCTTTAGTGTGCAAAGTATTCTGATTTTGAATTTTTTCAGATACCTTTTAAACCTCTGCCAGTCTGGTCATCTATTTTCTTAATTAGTTAAATTATTATATTAATGTAAGACTTTTAATATATTTTTTTCTAACGTTGAATCATCTTTTTATTCTTGGGATTCAGGCTTTTTTGTGGTCATGGCATATCATTTTTAAATAATTGTTGGATTAGATATGTTGATATTTTCTTAGGATTTTTATGTCTCCATTTGTAAGTGAAGTTGGACCTTTTTTGAAAAATCTTTTTTTTCTTTTTGTATAATAAGTGACCCAAATTATGTTGTTTTGGTAGATATTTGATTGATGTAGAAGGCATGAGGCCAGATGATGCAATTGAATGTAAGTATGAGGGTTGTCACTATTTTTCCCTTTTTATAAACCTAGTGGTGAAAATGTAGAGGAATTTCTCATTTTGATAAGTATATGATTGGTTTGAAAATATGACACACATATCCACATAAACACACACATATACAACATATATACATACACACACACACACACACACACAAGGAAATGACAAGAAAAGAAACTTGGGGCTGGGGATGTAACTCAGTGGTAAAGCTTCTGGATTTGATCCCCACCACCAAAAGAAAAGAAATAAAACAATGTTAGGTAGTCCTTTGCCAAACCTTTATAAAGGAATGTACCTTGAAAAAGTGATGTCTAACAGCTTAAATAGTCAATGAGTTTCAAGTTTGATTTGCTTTCTCTGGGAAAGGTTAATTTTTGTGTGATTATTTCTAACAGTTCATTTACTCCCAACTCCTCAGTATTCAATAGGTGCAGAGGACATTGCATAGAAAGACAAAACTACATTGAAGATCTTCAAAATGGGCCTATCAGGAAGTAAGTCTCATCTTTTATGTGTGGAGTTTGTGTTTAATGAGATTTTATATGATTTAAATTGCATATTTCACTTGCTTGTTCACTTGTGGAGAAACCTAAATACATAGGAATTGGGGGATGGGGTAGTGCTTGATATCTTCATAGGCCAAATATATATAGTCACTAAATTGCCTAGTGAATTTGGAAACCAGTAATACTATATAGAATTATTCTCTTCGAGGAATTGGAATTCTGGTGCATGTAGGTCAGTTGGTGTTGAAGAGTCAGCGCATATCATGGAACCAGTCCACACCATTAACAAGCCTGTTAACCAAGGACCTAGGTACAACTTTCATCGGACCCATGGCTACCCAGCAGCACCTCCAGCACCTCCTCGGCGTTTTCATGTCCAGACCCCAAATGTGCAGCAGTCATTCCGGTACCTCTGCTTTCCCTTTTTCTATTAACTGAAGTAAAATTTACCCCGGTACATTAGTGAAAATACATTATGATGATGATCCAACTGATACTGTGATGGTACCAGGAAGAACCATCCTGCTTTATTTTAGAAAGTGAAATAGAGGATGGAGAATATGACTTTTCAGAGTCAATTCAGAAAGGACTTAGAAATGTTCAGTAATCTTAAGCTTAGTTGAAGCAGAGGATTTGATGTGGATACTAGAAAGAATTGTTCTTTGTCTTTCTTTCTGTGCTGGGGAAACAGCAGTAGGCAAACACAACTGCTGATCTGTGCCCCCGCAGGCCTTAACAACTACTCAAGAGGCAGAGATAGGATGATTGCAGTGTGAGGCTGGTCTAGGCAAAAGCACAAGACCCTATATGAAAAAGAAACTAATAGCAAAAAAAAGTCTGGTATAGCTTAAGTCCAAGTAGTAGAGTTCTTGCCTAGCAAACAAAGCCCTGAGTTTGATCCTTAGTACTGCTCTCCCCACCACACAAAGAAAAAGAACATTACATTCCTAGGCTCCACTAATTGTAGTATAGTTTTTTGGATTAAATTAGGTAGTTATTTAAAGATCTGATGAAAATTAACTGAAATAATAAAATCTCCAAAGTAACTTTTGCAAAAAATGTTTGTTTTTGGTGTCAGTACCAGGGCTTTGCACTTTCACTTTTTTGGTCAAGACTGGCATTGTACCAATTGAGCCACAGTTCTACTCTGGAATTTTTGTGATTAATTAGAAATTAAAACCTCAGATTTGTCTGCCTGACTTCAAACTGAGATCTTCAGATCTCAGCCTCAGCCACTGTTGCTCAGTTTGCAAAGGATTTGAATAGATCAATCGCAGAAGTGTTTCACTTAGGAAATGGGAAAAATCTTGGTTTGATTCAAATAATTTTACGGAATTTTTCAGAGAGACAGACCAACAGGAGGAAGCTGGTTAGGTGTTATTGGTAGTATTGGCTTATGTAATTACAAATACTGAGAAGTACTACAGCAGGCCAGTTAGAGACCCAAAGGTGCCTGTTGTGCAGTTCAGTCCACAGGAGAAAACTTCAGGCCTAGAAAACCTGGTAATCTCAGTTCAGAGATCAAAAGTCGAAGACCTTAGGATGAGGGACAAGAGTTAAAGGGGGCACTGTTGGTACAAGTTTGAGTCCAAAGACCTGGAGTTCTAATGGACAAGAACAGGAAAAAGGTATCCCAGATGAATGAGAGCAAATTATCCTTTTCTTATTTTTTTGTTCTGTTGGAATGCTGGCCAACTGATTGGTACCTACCCACATTGAGGGTATATCTTCCCCACTCAATCCACCAGTTTAACACACTATTGTTTTTTTTAGCAACACACTCAACAGACATACCTAGAAATAATGCTTTAGTAGCTCTTTTTACTCCAGTCAAGTTATACCTACAATGAACCATTACAAATACCAAGATAGAAATTCTAAAATGAACCATCACAATACCAAAATAGAGTTCTTTGACTCTAAATTTAGATTTTCCAGGCAGTCACTCTATTATTTGCTTTAGTTATTTTTCAAAGATCTGACATTTTTGCTGTCTGGCTTGGACCTTATCCTCCTGTTTATGCTTCCTGTATAGCTGAGATGACAAGTGTGTGCCCCTATGCCCAGCTTTTTGTTGGTTGAGATGAGATCTCATGAACTTTTTGTCTGGGCTAGCTTCAAACTGTGTTTCTGCTGAGTAGCTAAGATTTCAGGCATGAGCCACCGCACCTGGCCTTAGTCCAATGTAGTAGCAGTTCTTGGTTCTTAGTTCAGTGAGTTATCAGGCTAGACCTAGATTTGGATCCTGATACTGTCATTCACCCAATATGTGATCTTCAGTGAGATTCTTCATCTCTCTAAATTTCCATTTCCCCATAGGTCAGTTGGATAGGGGTTCTTGCTGATTACTGCATAGAACACTTAAAAATTTGTTAATAGCTAGGCACCAGTGGCTCATGCCTGTAATCCCATTTACTCAGGAACTAAGATTCGAGGATTATGGTTTGAGGCCAGCCCAGGCAAGAAAGTCTGTAAGACTCTTATCTCCAATTAACCACCAGAAAGCCAGAAGTAGTGCTGTGATAGAGCACTAGCCTTGAGCAGAAGTTGCTCAAGGGCTGGGAAGGTGGCTCAGTGGTGGAGCGCTTGCCTTGCATGCATGAAGCCCTGGGTTCGATTCCTCAGCACCACATAAGCAAAAAGAAAAAAAACAGAAGTGGCGCTGTGGCTCAAGTGGTAGAGTGCTAGCCTTGAGATGAAGAGCTGAGGAACAGCTCCCAGGCCCAGAGTTCAGGCCCCACGACTGGAACCCCCCCCCCCCCCCCCAAAAAAAAAAAAAGGAGCTCAGGGACAGCACTCAGGCTGACTGGCAAAAATAGTAATAATAACATTTTCAAAAGACATGAACATTTCAAAAAAATGCTGTTACTAGTGATACTGAAAATTTGAATAACCCTTTTGAAACACAATTTTACTAGCCATAAAAATACTTGTACTTTAGCCAGGCACCAGTGGCTCACACCTGTAATTCTAGCTACTCAGCAGGCTGAGATCGAGGATCACGGTTAGAAGCCAGCCCCGGCAGGAAAGTGAAAAAGCCATAAGTGGCACTGTAGCTCAAATGGTAGAGTATTAGTCTTGGGCACAAAGAGGCTCAGGGACAGCACCCAGTCCCTGAGTTCAAGTCCCAGGACTAGCAAAAGGAAAAATACTTGATACTTTCTTGCTGAGGCTAAGGAAACCCTTTGAAATACAGAAAATGTTGTACTCATTCATTATATTCAGTACATTTCTCAAACTCCCTATTGTGTCCCACTCAGTAAGTGAGCAAGATGCTCTGCTGATAATTGTGTATATTCTGACATGTTAATCCCAAAAGTATTTGTGGTAAGGGAGAAACTGGTAATAGGTTGTATTTTTAACAATAGAGAATATAGCTAAGTAATCATATACATATATTTTATCAGCCATTGAAAGTGATAGATCACTATGATAATCAAAAGATTAATACTGATTCAACAGTTTTTTTATTAGACTAAATGGGATTGAGGGGTTTTTAAGTTTTATTTTTATCAAATTTCCAAATTTTTGTATGGTTATATATATTTACTGATCTTTCTTTTTGTGTCAAGGCATTGTAGATTTACTATGCATTGGCTTGGTTAAGCGCCTTTAAAGAAAGAAGATATGGTTAGCTGTCTTTTTATAAAGAAGAGATGGAAAGCTTAAGTAACTTATCTGTGATGGTCATAAGCATAGGAAACAGTAGAACCAGAATAGCAATGTATTTTGTAAAGGTGATTATATATTTTGCTAATTTTAATAATGGTTTGTTATTTTTTGTTTAAGAAAATTTTCACAAAATCAAAACATTTACCAGAAAGTCCGTATGCCTCCTCCTGGGCCTGCTGGAGAAGATTGTTCACAACGAAGATACTTTTGGAATGTAAAGCCAAATAGCAGTCAACCAGCCCAGAATAAGAAGTGGTTTTCCAGCAATTACCAGAGACTATCCTGCCCAACCTATTGGGGATGGACCGAATGATACTAAGCTGTGCTGGCAATCTACTTGGACACCCGCGCTGGATGAAGATGGCTAGAGAGCAGCTTTTAATAAAACCAGGTCAAATGAGATTTCCCTCCCGCCAACTTTTAAAAATCTATTACTCTTCTGTGCTCAAATATTAGTATTTACCTCTTTTCTGATAGATACAAAAACAGCAGTTTAAACAAATTTTGTCATTCTAACTTTAAATTTTTCTAAAAGAAATATTTTTGAGCTGAATAATTTAACATTTCTTTTGCAAATCATTTTTTTAATTGTTCCCACCCCCCCCCCCCCCCGTATTTTCTTCTAGACTTGTGATATAAATACAGAAATGTTTAATGTTTGTCATGTTCTATTACTGACATAGTCATTAAGGGTATCTCCTCCTCCCAACCACCCCTCCCCCCAACTATTCACAATTTCTCTTAAGATCTTCCTGGAGACAATTATTTCTTTAGAATTTAATCACTACCTGTAATTAATTTAATTTTTGTTTTAGGTATTTTTTAATTTGGCACTTTTGGAATTTGATCAACTTCTTTCACTGAATTACCAGATATGCCATCTAACATAGGGATAGATAAAATTTTAGGGATTATCAGTTGAGCAAGAGAGTGTTGAATTGATAAATCAGAATACTGGGTAAATTAAGTTATAATTTACCTGTCAGGATAAATGTCATCAACAGGGTAGAACTATCCAGAAAACTTAAAACTTTTACAGATTATAAAGGTCACTTGAAGAACAGAATATAACTATAAATTGCTTCTTATATCTGAGAATACTGTTGGTGATGTTGCTCCTCTTTTGAACATAATCCTCTGGGATCTTTCTCCAGTTGCCTTTCACACTGGAGTGGTGCTTTTTCTCTAGTATACACAGGTATACTACTTGGGAGGGTGCTAATTATTTGTAACTATAGAGCTTGCTCAGGAAATGTCTCTTATCATGACACAATAAACTTTAGTGAACATTTGGGCAACTTGAATTCATTTTTTTGAGCCTATGATTTTGAGAATTTGTACCATAGAATATGTGCTACTTCACAGTTACTTCCTGTCCTATCTTTTATATGAACAACATGAAGAACCTGACCTTAGGAAAGTATTCTTAACCTATCTATTCCTCTTGCCAGTGTCTGATTGGCTCAGGCAAGCTTCTGTATGTTTAAGTAATGGCTCCTAGGGTTTTTCTCTGCTTGCTATATTTAACAGAGTTGCAAATGTCTTCCTGGCTATAAGCCTGTTATTGTAGAATTGTTCCCTAGAATCATGGACAGTCACATTGGAAGAAATTGGAGTAAGACCAAAAAAAAAAAAGCAGGGGTAAATAGGGATGCAGCCAGTCTCATTTGTAAAGAATGTTTTGACAAGCAGCTTCTAAGGATGCTACCAACAGAGAGGGTTGTCATATTGTTACCGTCAGTGTTTTTTCTTAACTTTATTTCTCCTTATTTCAGTTATCAACTTGATTTGTTTTCAAACTAGCCTACCATTTGATATTGCATACTTCTTTACTGCTTCTCTGGCTTGTGTTCACACCATGTTGTTGAAAGCCTCTGATGAAAGGAACCAGCAACTGCCTTTTTTAAAGGATGTTTAAGCCAGGTGCTGGTAGCTCATGTCTATAATCCTAGCTACTCAGGAATCTGAGATCTGAGAATTTTCTACCAGCCTGGCAGAAAAGTCAGTGAGGCTTATCTCCAGTTAGCCACCTTTTTTTTTTTTCTAAAGACACCTGTGGAAGGCAGGGCTTAAGTAGTGGAGCACTAGCCTTGAGGAAAAAGAAAAACCAGGGATAGTGCCCCAGGCCCTGAGTTTAGGCCCAGGACCAGCACAAAAACGGGGATTGGGGGAAAATGTCAGTAGTATGTTTAGGCTTTTATTATATACATATAGTTAAAATAGATAGTTTAAAATTCAACCCTGATTATCATTTCTCAAAGTATTTTTGTATTACCTTCTGGTATTTGATTTCCATTGTGTAAATCATATGCCACCTCATGATTTGTCAATTTGTAGTACTATCTGCTGACAGATTTCTACTACGGTAGATTAGGAGTTAGCTCATTCATGATATGAATGTACACTATACCATGGTTGTCTTCCAGCTTTTTTAAAAATCAGTATTAGGAGTTCGTGTTACTAAGTAAAATACTATTCATTATGAGTCATAGTGTATCATGGTTGTGTTTCATTGCTAATATCCCCCTTTTCACTCATTTTTTTCCCTTCATCTTGTTTTCCCCTCTTCCTGTGGGTCTATCACTGATTATCTCCTATATCTCTAATGACATAAAATCTCATTTCTAGAGCCTTTTAATCTGTTGGTACAACATCAGTTTACTAGAGCTGCCACAGCTGAGTTACACGGACTACGTGGCTTAAATAACATTTATTTTTCACACTTCTAGAGTCTAAGAAGATTAAAGTGACCGCTAAAATTGTTTTTGGTTTCTTCTAAAGTTTCTCTTATACATGGCTGACGTGTGTGTGTGTGTATGTGTGTGTGTGTGTGTGTGTGTGTGTGTGTGTGTGTGTGTGTGTGTATACACACTAGCACATGGAAGTATTGAATCCAGGGCCTTCCAATGCTAGACAAATGTTGTACTGACTGGGGACCTGCATCCTCAGTCATATTGGATGAGGGCCAACCCTTGTGTTACCATTTTCATTTATTTAACTCTTAAAACTCTTACGTTTTTATATTCAAGGGCAGTTACATTCTCAAATGCTAGGTGTTAAAACATCAAAACAAGAATTTTGAAGGAATACAACTTAGCTTGTGAGACCTACATTGTCTGTTCTCTAGACCAGGGACATAGCTTCTGTTTTAGGATTTCCATTCCTCTTTATCCTGTTGATTTCTGAGCCCTTTATTTTGTATCTGGAATCCCATAGCTGCTGCTTTCATGGTTTACTTCCCTATATGGTGGAATATCCTTTCAGTACCTTTCAAGGAAGAATGGGATGTAATTTTTTTGACTTGGATAACTGAAATGGGCTTATTTTACTTTTTCTCTACATTGATAGTTTCATTAACTATCGGATTGCAGGTAGGCACTTTTTTTTTTTTTTTTTTTTCAGGTAGGGGGTAGGTTTATTCAGTAGAACTGCTGGACCAGGCAAGGTTGGCACTCCACGTGGCTAGGAAAGGCCTGGGAATGAGAGAGAGCTGGGAAAGAGAGGAAAGAGAGAAAGAGCTAGAAAAGAGCAGAGAGAGAGCAGAAAAGAACAGAGAGAGAGAGAGAGCTAGAAAAGAACAGCAAGAGAGAGCCTCTGGGCCTGGGCTAGGCCTTATCTAGGGTATGGGGGGGGGAGGGAAGGTATGGCCACATCAAATTCAGTGTGACCTCGTCCAGGTGTCCCAGTTGCCTAGGTAACGCAGGTACTGGGTGGAGACTTTGCTGCGAGGAGGGTGGAGTCTGCTGGCCATCCTGGAGCGGACCTTACATTCCAGCCTTTTAATAATCATGAAATAGGGCGTGGATTCTCTGGCTACTTGCAGGTAGGCACTTTTAAACATATCCATTGTTATTGAAGTTTTAGGATCCTCTTTATCTTGGGTTTCTTGATATATTTTCTTTAGCCCTTACCCCCACACATTTTTTATTATTTGTTTTGGTGTTTTGTTCTTTGATAGTGGTACTAGGACTTGAAGGCCTTATGCTTGAGCTTGGCTTTCTTCCTCACAGCTGGTGCTCTACTATTTGAGCCACATCTCCACTTCCTAGTTTTTAATTAATAATTTAGTGAGCTCTTTCAGTCTGGCAAGTTTTGAGAAATTTTCATTTTATATAATTTTCTTTCCAAGGAACTTCTAGCTGGGTAGTGAATTTTCTGAAATATACCTTTAAATTCATTGTATTTTTTTCTCTTATTTTCCACTTCTTACTCTAATTTTTTTTTCTGCTTTATTTTTCTGATATGTCTTCCCACTCACCCCAGTGGGGGACTAGAGATTGAACTCAGAGCCTTAGGCATGCACTATACCAATGGGGTAAGCCTCTAACCCTCCCTCCTACACACACACACATCCCAAGGGACCCTACTGCCTCAGCTTCCTGAGTAGTTAAGACTAAAATGCGTACCACCATGCCCAGCTCTCTACTTTTAATTTCTAAGAGCTGTTATTTTTTTTAATGAATATGTATTATGTTTGTTGAATGTTGCCAGTTTAAAGTTTATTCTTCCTCTCCATCAAATTTCTTTCTTCAGAAACTTTACTAACATTTTTCATCTTCCATTTGTCATCTCTCCAACAGCTTTGGAAATTTCATCTTTAAAAATTCCTTTACTGGGGCTAGGAAGGTGGCTCAGTGGTAGAGTACTTGCCTTGCATGCATGAGGCCCTGGGTTCGATTCCTCAGCACCACATAGGCAGAAAAAGCCAGAAGTGGCACTGTGGCTCAAGTGGTAGAGCGCTAGCCTTGAGCTGAAGAACTAAGGGACATGCCCAGGCCCAGAGTTCAGGCCCCAGGACTGGCCATAAAAACAATTCCTTACTGACATTTTAATGGGTTTGGGTAAAGGTTACAGATATAGGTCTGAGAGTAAGTGTAATGAATATTTAAATTTCCAAATGAATTGCTTTGGAGGTTTATCCTCAGTCTGGCAACCTTGGTTATTTTTAAATATCATGTCCCAGCAGTGTAGGCCATTGAGTGCTCTGTCATGATTTGGACCTATAATGTTACAAACACTTTACTATAAAGAAAGTCTCCATCCAGGATCCTATCGAAGCTACCTTTCCAGTGAAACTCTTAGCTCATAATTCTGTCCTAAAATTATGCTCTTTCATTATTTTCCCTTTGGAAATCTTAAGTGTCTTAAGGTTCCAGTGTCATTCCCATGTCAAGGCTTCCTATATCTGATTTGGAGCTAACTTTTACTGCATTCCAGTCTTTTCCTGAGTATATTGGGCTATACATGTTTATGCCTTTGTTTGTTTGTTTGACTGTAATATCTCTTGTTGTCTCAGTGAATCTCCTTCATTGCATATGCCACATTTTTTGTTGTTGTTGTTGTTGGTCATGGGGCTTGAACTCTGGGCCTGAGCACTGTCCCTCAGCTCTTCAGCTCAAGGCGAGCATTCTA